ACACAGAGCCCTGCAGAGGCTTTAGGGGTGCACCGCGGGGGGCTGTGCCTGTGTCTGTGGGAAAAGGATGACCGCGGCAGGGTCAGCAAGCCCCTCTGTCACCTTGCGTGAAATGACCACATGTGTCTGTGCATGTCATGAGGACATGGCAGATCCCTCGCAGCAACTTCCAAGTTTATCACAAAGTATCGTTGGCTGTAGGACTTCTTATTCTTATAACCGCAAGTTTATACCCTCTTACCAACATCCTTCCCTTTCTTCCATCTTCCCTGCCGCTGCCCCTGGCAACCACCACCCATTTGGAGTCCATTTAGAGAGACCACACAGTATTTGTCTCCTCCGTCTGACTTGCTTCCGTCTACATCGTGCCCTGCGGGCAGGCCCACCACGTGGCTGCAGCGGCTGAGCGTGTCCCCTGTTACATAGTCACACGCCCCGGGCTGGACTGTGGTGGCTCTGAAGTCACTGATTCCTGTTATTCGCTGTGAGAGTCAACTTGAAACCCAGGTCTCTCTGGTTTACAAAGAACTGACCACTGAAAACTATTATTATTATTATTATTATTATTATTATTATTATTTTAATCATCTCCTGAGGATGTTTATTGATTTTACAAAGAGAGAGAAACAGAGAGAGAGAAGAATCATGTGAGAGAGAAACAACATCAGCTGCCTCTCAGACGAGCCCCGACCAGGGATCAAATGATCAAATGTGCAACCTATTGGGGTACAGGACGACCCTCCAACTAACCGAGCCACCCGGACAGGGTGGAAAATTGAAACCACTCCCGTGCGTGTGTGAACTGCATTAGGCCAGCAGCATGGTGATGGGGGAGGAGCTAAGAGCCCCCGGAAGGGGGCCGCCGGCCTATGGGAAGCGCGCACCTGGACTTGACCCTTCCCATCCAGCCGAGCTGGCCAGTCCGTGGGGCGAGGCTGTCTGCGTGTCTGTGGGTGTGTGCGCAGTGCAAAGGGGAGCGGAGAGCGGGAACGCCATCTTTTAAAATGTTTTTTACCCTTAACCAAGGACATCGATTTTAGGGAGAGGGGAAGAGAGAAAAACAGAGAGAGAGAGAAACACCAACGTGAGAGAGAAACATCGATCCCTTGCCTATTGTACTTACCCCACTGGGCACCAAACCCACAACCTAGGTGTGGGCCTGTGACCTTTTGGTTACGGGACCACGCCCCAACCAAGTGAGCCACCCGGCCAGGTACAACATTTTTTATTTAGTCTCGACTCCTAAAAATATCAGCAGTTGTGATCAAGGCGGGGCCTGGCTTGTCTGGGAAACCTCAGCCACGTGTTTTCAGGAACAGGGCAGGCACCTGCCTCCTGAGAGTGTAACAGGGTGCAGCCAAAGAGGGGACCCCAAATAGGGATTTGTAACGGGGTCCAGAAGAGCTTGGAGATGACCGGCTCCACACCACAGGGCCACACCTGCTAGGAACGCTGGCAGCTGTGGCCAACCGTGGGAGGAGCCAGAAATGGGGCTGCAGAGGAAGACTGGTGCTGGGATTTAAACCCAGGCCCAGCAGCATTTGGTGTCTTTTCGGGGACCACGCAGCTTTGGCAGAGAGCTGGAACCACACAGTTTGGGCATCTTGTTGGGACCACTGGGCTTTGGCAGATTGGGGACCCCGTGGCTTGGGTAGGAGTCAGACCACTCAGCTTTGAGAGAGCTCCCTTTTGCCACGTGGGTGGTGCCGGGAGCCTGAATCGCAGATTTCTACTTCTTTCCTGAGATGGGGCGCCCCAGACCCGGCAGAGGGAGAAGGAAGGACTGTGTGCGTTTGTGGGTATTCTAAAGACCTGTAGTCTGTGTAACTTTTAAATCAATAGTATTCCTCTCCTTTTCACCAATCTCTGGCATTGAGAGATGTCTTTCCTCTGGCAGCAGGCAAAGCGAACCTAGTGGGGGGAAGAACCTCTGGAAGAAAAGGGGGGTCTTTTATATCGGCAGCCCCACCCCCGTCTGTTCTGCAACAAGAGGAAGGTCTAGGTCAGACTCAGATGAGTAAGAAACAGGAGGCGCGTCTGAACTGGACATGCCAAGGCCTCGTCCTTCCGGTTCAGGGCCAGTGCTGGCCGGCTCTGTGGGGGCCGCCCTGCGGGGGTCAGTGCTGCTGCTCCCCAGGGTCAGGCTCCTGTGGAGGCTGCACACAGAGAGCCGGGGGCTCGTGGTGAGCCTTCTTGGAGTACATCCCAGAACCCACCAAGGGCCACGACAGCCTGAGGCACTGGACTGTGGTCCCCACAGCCAGTCTTACTCCTGCCCCAACAGGGGGTCATCGGGCAGACCTCTGAGTTAGGGACAGGGGTTTGCCGGGCACAGTGTGGGAGCCCGGTCACTGGAAGGGCCACAGAAGGCTTTGCTAGAATGACGTGCGCATCCAACTCTGGAACTGCCCGTTACCTCATTCAGGGGCCTGCGCTACCTCATTCAGCTCCTTTGGTACCCCCTGGGGCTGTGTTCATTACCGCTTTGGTGATTTATTCTGTTTTGTTTTTCTGACTACTGTTTGTTTTCTGCTTGGCTCGTTATTGAAATTTTATGTAAAAATTAATAGGTTTTGAATATCACACATAATGCAATAACAGGAAATGATGTCACGTGGCATTCAAATTACTTAGAAAAATATTTTGTATTCTTTGATGGCTTCGGTTTCATCTGATTCCTTTGTGCTGACATGCTAATTCGCTTAAAATTTGCAGTGTTTTGTAGGAAATGGTCTCAAAATTCACGTTTGTATCAACCACTTTGAACAATATGCATCCTGGGGAAAACAATCTGATTACTGAGAGGCATAGTTTTTGTGTGAGTTTAATATAGTTTCTCTGTCAATCTTTTTAAGTAAAAAATAGAACTTTCATGGTGATATTTACATTGAACCAATACTTATGGATTGTGTATCATTAAGTAACAACGGTAAACAAGAGAAATATATTCTATGACCCTACGAGCTAATGGGTTGGAAGAGAGACAGTAAGCTGGTGATCACAGGAAGGAGTTGGTCGCACTTGTCAGGAGGGGCAGAGAGGAATCCTGGCTAACAGGTGGTTTCTAAGCTGCAGTTCCAAAGTGAGCGGGACTACCTGGGTGCCATGCATCCTGGGGAGAAGAGGAGGAGCGGAGGCCAAGGATCCTACAGCTTCTGAGGACCTGGGATGCCCAGGGCACAAGGACTAGGAGGCGAGGACCCTTATACCAGGACAGCGAGATGCTGGTGAAGGAGAGTGAGGAGGGGATATGATGGTGCTTGTGTTTCAGAAAGGCCCTTTCCGGCGGCAGGACACGGAATGGTCAGGCGGGGGCTGGGATGGAGGTGGCGAGAACGGAGAGGGACGCAGGAGCTGAGGGGGTTCAGAGCGAGGGCAGACGTGGCGTCTGGTGTCCCCGCTGAAGGAGCGAGAGAAGGAGCTGAAAGAGGAGCGGAGATCGGGGTGCGGGGAGCACAGCCCAGGGGTGCTCGTGGCGAGTCTCTGCACCAGAGGCCGAGTCCCGCAGGCGGAGGGGAGGCGGACCAGTGGGCGGGAAGGGTGGGGACACATCTCCCCGGGTCACCGGGACACCAGGAGGGGTGATTGCAGGTAAAATGTACAATGTGCTAGGCACGCGGCTTCTCCCAGTCCCCAGGGAAGTGTGGGGAACCCCTGGGAATCTCCTGCTCCCAACTTGCGCTCAGCGTGGCTCTGCTTTAGCCAGAGGGTGGTAAAGGATTTTTTCTCTTGGTTTTCTGGGTCGGCGCAGCCCAAGTGCTGGAGTCATAAGATAAATACAAAATATTCAATAAAACATAACACACAAGGTCAATAAGCTAAGATTTGTGCTACAAAAATAGAAATATAAACGAGTTACACAGGCTTACGTGTGAATGTTTATGTACAAACTCTGCTGCCCCTGACAAGACAAAATGACTATGGATCTGCTCGAGGGTTGTTTATCTGCTAACCTGGATTTGATTGGATTTTTTAACTATTCTTTATTGTTGCTCAGGAAGCTGTCTTTACTTTCCTCCCACCCCTCCCCACCCACCCCAGCCACCCCCACTTCCCACTCTTGACTCCACCCCCTTGGGTTTTGTCCACGTGTCCTTTATGCGTGTTCCTGAAAACCCTTCCCGCTTCCCCCCATTATGCCCTCCCACTTCCCCTCTGCTGATTTTATTTTACTTTTAAATCAAACAGTGTATTTTTTAATTTTATTTTTGACTTTAGAGAGAGGAAAAAGTTGGGAGAAAGAAAGGGAGAGAAATGTTGATGTGAGAAAGAAACATTGATCGGTTACTCATTTCCTGATCAGGATTGAACCCACAACCTAGGTGTGTGTCCTGACTGGGAATCAAACCCACAACTTTTGGTTGGCAGAAAGACACCCAACCCACTGAGCCACACCAACTGGGACTGTTGCCCTTGATTTTCTTTTATTTTATTTTTGAAATATTTTATTTATTTATTTTTAAAACAAGGGAAAGTGAGGGAGAAAGAGAAGGAGAGAAACATCACTGTGTGGTTGCCTCTCGCACACCCCCTACTGGGGACCTGGCCTGCAACCCAGGCATGTGCCCTGACTGGGACTCGAACCTGTGACCCTCTGGTTCGCAGGCTGATGCTCAATCCACTGAGCCACACCAGCCAGTGTTACCCTTGATTTTAAAAATGCAGTGAATTCAATGACTTAGGCAATGAGTTCAGGCAAAAATAGCTCATCAAGCAATGCTCTGTTGTGAAATTTGTGTACATATCTATCTCCTCTACCAAGTAATATGTTTGTTTTTGTGTCTTTTACAGTGACCAGTAAAATGCCTAAAAATTAGATTTAATAGCACCAGCATTTTGACCCTTTTCTAAGTTGATATAGTTGAAGTTACACGCTTTTATCTAGTCGGTTACACGCTTTTGTTAAGTCGGTCACTTAACAAAAGAAGTCAGGAATTATGTCCCCAAGTTATTTTTTCAACCCAAGAAAGCTGTCCGTACATTGGCCATCTTCCCTGCAGGCGACTACGTTGTCATGACGATCTATTTCGAACTGAGCCGACGAATGGGCTACTTCACCATTCAAACGTACATCCCCTGTATCCTGACCGTGGTTCTGTCCTGGGTGTCGTTTTGGATCAAAAGAGATGCGACGCCGGCAAGAACAACATTAGGTGAGTTTCTCACCTCTCAAAAAAAAAAAAACCTCTCTTACCATTTTGTGTCATTTCGATACAGAAATACTAATAAAAATGCTTTCAATGCAACGGAATTCCAGTATAACTGATCCCACCCAGGGCCATGCTTCGGGCTGTTCCCAAGTTGGATTATTCTTCTTGACAGTGGGTTCCACAGGCACCGCTTGCATGAAATTGGGGTTAGGGAGCCAAGTAAATCCCTGGTGTCCTCTGATAGATGTGCCAAGGATGATGTCACCATGAAGACGTCGTCCTGGCCCGGGATCGGCCACACTCAGAGGCCTCATACATCAGCGTAAGGAAGTAAAACCCAATATTGGTAAAAGAGTCTCTTAATAAAAGAAGGTCTGCTGGTGCATAGAAACTTTACCAGCCAACAAGAAAATGGCCCATTTTTTCCGCTGTAATCTGCACACGAAAGCTCAGAGTCTTTTCGTGAATTTTCCTCTGTGTCCCGAAGTCCTCTTAATAAAACATTCCACTTTGGTCATTTCAGAGTTAGTCACCATGTTCTATATATTAGCGTTCCCTGATGACAGGAATTTTGTCTGACTTTCAATATTTTGATATGTGAAGACAGGGAACGTGTAAGACTAAACAGAGAGGTTGTTTACTGCCCGAAAATTTCTTTCAGAAAAGAGGGCTCTGCCTGATTTTAAAAATACTTTTTGAGTCTCTCATATCATATTGTACTTTTGCTGTGTTTGTTTTTATTCTTTGTTCAACAACAAAGTACTGTTTGAACAAGATAATTTAGCCTGTACGGTCCTCTCTGGATATTAGTTTGGCACGCTTACAGGAAAGACGAGATCCAATGGGTAAGTCAGATGGAAAAGGTATCACGTAAATTGAATAGGTATTCTAGGGGTTCTGAGCTACACAGGTCAGCTGTCATAGTGAGCGGGACTTTATCGATCAGCTCTCAAACATTCTCACAGGTAGTTATATTTGCACACCTGAGCCTGTGGAAGTCTTATGGAAGAGTAGTTATGGAAGCGTGAGAAAGCAGAGATACGGGAAAACCACAGCGATGGCAGATTTACAGTCCAGAAGAGTGAAAAATGCCATTAACACCAGCATATTCAGCTGATACATCAGAAAGGCTAAACCTAAGAAGCAAGGAGTCCTCTAGACCTTCTCTAGAGAAACTTAAGCCAAGCCCTGACCATAGCGAGGAGACCCCCCTGCAAATTAACTATCTGTCAGAAGAAAGGATTCAACATACTTTAAAAAAGATAGCATAATCCATACTCTTTATAATGTATCTCCTACAATATTGAGTGTCCAATAAAAAATGACTAGCTATTCAGAGGTAGAAAAATGTGACCCATATTCAAGAAAAAGTAGAGTCGATATAAAAAGACATGAGCTTTCAAGCAGCCTTTGTAAAAATGTTTGAGGATGTAAAGAAAAACATAATCTTAATGAATGAACAGAGCATAATGTCAGCATAGTCTATGAAAAAGGAAATTCTAGAATGAAATCTATGACAGGTGAATTGGAGAATTGACTAGGCTTAAGTGCAGATGGAAGATGGCAGAATAAAAGGTCATCTCTAATTAAATTCACATAAACTTTATCGAATTTGAAGAAGAGAGCTAAAAGGGTTTAACAGAATACACAGAGCCACACTGACCCCTGCAACAACATGGAGACATATTACATGGCTATAATTTGGGGTCCAAAGTGAAAGGAGAAAAAGAATGAGGTAAAGAATTCTTTGGGGGAAAAAAATGAAGTTAAAAATCTCCAAATTTAATGGAAAACACCTACCTACTAATTCTGTAGATGAGACATTGTCACCACATTTGTTAAAAGGGGAAAATGGATTCTTATCTAGATTTCTTCATAAACACGTGCCTGCCATTGGTGTAGACTTTGAAAGAGTACGTAACATTTTTATAAGAAGCATCGGCACTTTGCCACCTACAATTAGGAGAACCTGGCCTTCTGTTTTCCGTGTGTGGATTCAAAGGTAATCACTTTACATCACCAGGTGCCAAGACGGCCCAGAGCAGGGTGAGAGCTCTGAGTCCTGGGTCGGTATTCTTTACACCTGGCAGGCTGCCCACCTGGGGCTGCAGGCTCCTTCCCCACCTGGTCCCAGGGTGGGTGGGGGGAGCACCCGCAGCACGTACAGGCAGCCAATCAGCAGGAGCTGAGGTGTTTCAGCCAAGCTGGGAGGGAGCTCACTCACCCGTCACGGCACCTAACCCCAGATGGACATTTCATAGCATTCCCACTGAGCCACAGGGCAGGTGAGAGTTCAAGTCTGTGTGCCTGCGATGCTGGGGTCTGTGTCACCAGCCCGCTGGGCCACCAGCTCTAGCAGGTTCTGGGTCCCAGGAGCCCATCTGGAGAAGAGGCAGCCTTCGCTCGTTTCGTGTGACAGTCACCTGCTCACCTCCTTCTCCTTCGTGTTTAGTAGCCCGCATGCCTTTCTTCATTTGTTTTTCCTTCTAAATCACCCATGACACGCACATCACTTTCCTAAATCTTTCCCACAGTCTCCCATCACATCTTTAGTGTGACCGTCACGTGTGAAATGGTCAAGGTCAGACCAACACTGCATATTATGAGTCCACTGATTGATGGACGGGTGAATGATGGCTGCATTCGATGCACAGCGTTCATGTAAATGCCTAGAATGTGCCCGGCTCACTGAGAAGCAAGCAAAGATGAGCAAGAGACAGTTTTGCCCTTGTGGGTCAGCCAGCCTGTGGATCTATCCAGGGAGAGAAACTGCCACGACATGTGCAAAGTTTCCTGTGATAATGGAAACCCACAAAAGAGCAGGCGGGGTGGCTGGAAAGTTGGGGTGTGGTGCTGACGTGCACGTGGTCCGCTCTGGGCGGGGCGTTGCAGGGAAGGCGCCTCAAGGTGGCAGTTTGCAAATTTCATAGAGAAGAAGTGAGAAGGAAGGCGTTTGTGGTCAGGAGGAAACTGTGAGCCGTGGATCAGAGGCCACGTTATGGCAGGCTGCACACCGGATCTTCGTTAAAAAGTATTTAAAAGACAAAATGTCGAGCAATTGCAGAATGACTGAAAAAACGGAAAGGTGTCAACTTCATTCGGGTATTTTAACGCTTGAGGAGACTGCGATGGAAATTTTATGGAAGCGGGGCTTACGAAATCATAGACATTAAGGTGTAAAAGCAATGTTACGCTCATGCAATGTCAAAGGGAGTTCATGTAACAATGCAGCGTTGGAGGGATGGGGTCGGTGGGGCTCCTGTGACAGAACCTGGCGCCTGTCCCCACCCAGGGATCACCACAGTGCTGACCATGACCACGCTCAGCACCATCGCCAGGAACTCCCTGCCGCGCGTGTCCTATGTCACCGCCATGGACCTCTTCGTGACCGTGTGCTTCCTCTTCGTGTTCGCCGCCCTGATGGAATACGCCACCCTCAACTACTACTCCAGCTGTCGGAAACCGACCGCCACCAAAAAGAAAACGTCGGTGAGTGCCCGATTTTTAGGGAAGGCACTGGGGAGGGTACTTTGAAGCAAATGATGGGGGAAGGGAGGGAGAAAGAGAGGGAGAGAAACATTAATGTGTGGTTGCCTCTCGCACGCCCCCTAATGGAGAACCTGGCCTGCAACACAGGCATGTGCCCTGACTGGGAATTGAGCCCACGACCCTTTGGTTCGTTGAGCTCAGCGCTCAAGCCACTGAGCAATACCAGCCAGGGCTCTTTAAGGGTCTTATACAACATGATATAAACAGCTCACTGGACAACACTTTAAGGACACGAGACTCGTGTTCAGAAGACTGGATTGTCACCCCCCTCTTGAACTCCACCCACCAGTGACAGAGAGGAATGTCATCAGAGTTAAAAGATCGCTCATACCTGGGGAAATGTACGATTCAGATTTTCATAGCAGCTTTGTAATGATTTTTTTTCTGGGTTTTTTTTTTCAGTTATTACCTCCAGATTCCTCAAGATGGATTCATGAGCGAATAACCCTACAAGCTCCCTCCGTATGTATTAGCATTGCAGGTGCAAATATTTCCATGAACTCTTACTAAACTGAGATAGAAGGAGCTGTTATTGCTGACATATGGAAGAACAGTACACACCCTGCCTTCAAAATGTGTTTACTTTTTAAAAATTCCCAATTTAGAACATTTGAAAAATAAAGGGGCAAACTCCATCATAATCCTTCCACCCAGGGATTCGTGCGGAGCATGCGCATTTCTGTTTTGTATGTCAGAAAGATGTTATGAACAAGCTTCTGTGTTATATGATTTTTAACTCCATTTTTCAATTATAGTTGAGCTTCAATATTAACTTATATTTGTTTTGGGTGTACAGCATAGTGGTTAGACATTTATGTAACTTACAAAGTGTTTCCCCCCATAAGTCTAGCAGCCACCTGGCCCCATACCCATATACAGTTATTATATGATGGACTATATTCCATGTGCTGTAATTTACATCCCCATGACTATTCTGTAACTGCCAGTCTGTCCTTCTTACTCCCTTCCCCTTTTTCATCCATCTCCCCAGTACCCCTTCGAAGCATCAGAGTGTCTTCTGTAACCATGAGTCTGTTTCCATTTCGTTCTTCATTTATTTTGTTTATCAGACTCTACACATGAGTGAAATCGTATGATATTTATTTATCTTTCTCGGACTGGCTTATTTCACTTAGCATAACACCCTCTAGGTCTATCCATGCTGTCTCAAATGGTAAGATTGCCTTCTTTTATGACTGCATAATAATTGACCGTGTTAACGATATTTTCTAGGATCGTGTCATATATTCAGATGGACGTACAAATACAGTCTTGGCTGGGTGCTGGGCTGATTCACACACACTCACTGCTGTCCATATTCTTAAAGTCGCTATGGCTTTGCGCACACCTGGGACTGTCTCCTTAGTATAAATCCCTAGCAGCAGAAGGACGGGGCCAAAGAGCTTGCACGGTCTCTGCCACATTGTATTTCAGCAGCTCCATTCACAGAATTCACCCGCCTTAGTTTGACAGCCAAGCAGAAAAACATCCCTGCATTCTGTTCCTGCTGGCTCGTCTTTGATTGTTGGTAAAGTTTAATGTTTTTCCTTATTTATTTTTTATTTCCATTTCTAGTTCATGACTTGCTTTTTATGTCCTTTATCTTTGATAAGTTTTTACATATTTTCATTTTTTTATGTCTTTTGACTTTTTTAGAGTAGCAATCTGCCACTTCTTCATGCCATATACAGGATCTGACACAAATAACTCGCCCCACCCCCCTTTCAAAGATTTTATTTATTTCTTTTTAGAAAGAAGGGAAGGGAGGGAGAAAGAGAGGGAGAGAAACATCAGTGCGTGGTTGCCTCTCACGCTCCCTCTACTGGGAACCTGGCCCGCAACCCAGGCATGTGCCCTGACTGGGAATCGAACCTGTAACCCTCTGGTTTGCAGGTCAGCTGTCAATCCACTAAGCTACACCAGCCAGGGCATAACACCCCTTTTTTAGTACAAAATATTTTATTACAAAATCATTCTGTCATACATGTCATTCTGTCACATAACAATATCACACTCAAGCATACCATGGGACATTTTAGGTGACCTGTTCAAATTTATACTATTAATTGCTACATCCATATTATTACCCTGCCAACCATACTCACGCACGTGCTCCTGCTGGGCCCTGTATTGTGTACGTTGGATTTTATATGACATAAAAATGGATAGAGTCACATATAGAATATATTAGGGACAGTAGCCTGTTTTTTGTTCCATTTGTACCTCAGCTTTCCTTGGCAACGTTGTCACCGTCACTTCCTGTGCCTTTTCCCACACGCATTTTCTGAAGTCTCCTGTGGTCCGATCCGTCCGCCTCTCCTTCCGTGGTCTCTGCCCCCTGTGTCCCCTCGCTGTCCTCTGAGGCTGACCCTGCGTCGTAAACGCTCTCGTGCATCAACTCACTTTATCTTCCAACAACCCCTTCTACAGATGAGGAAACGGATGTAGGAAGAAATGAAGCCCTGTGGATAATGACCAAGATTTGTCAATTTATTTTTTTTAAAGATTTATTTATTTATTTATCTTTAGAGGGGAAGGGAAGGAGAGAGGGAGAGAAACATCAATGTATGGTTGCCTTTCATGCATCCCCTGCTGGGAACTGGTCTGCAGGGAACTGGCCTGCAACCCCAGTATGTGCCCTGACTGGGAATCGAACCGTGATTGTCTGGTTCCCAGGCCCGCGCTCAATCCACTGAGCTACACCAGCCAGGGCAAGATTTGTCAATTTAAAAAAATTACATTTAGTTATTCATGCCTCTGAATTTTCAGTTTATGGCTTGAGGTAAGAATCTATTAAAAATCTGAGACACGTGTTTTTAAACGGTGAGGCGAATACCCCTTTCATCATACCACAATTTTTTTTATATCTGATCCCTTTACCACATATGGTAAAGCACAATGAATTTTAGACTGTAAGGGAGAATAAAAAGCACATATGTGAGCAATAGGGGCTACGGACCAGGAGACAGCAGGGGGTCGCAGCCTGAGCTGGTCCCGCTGAGGCAAGACCAGGCTGCTTTTCACAGAGAAAAGTCCCAACCAGCTTCCCTGTGAGGTCCTCCGCATGCAAATGAGGTTTCCAAATAACTGCAGTCCTGATTGGTCGGCATTCTGCGTCCCATACTTGTCGATCACTATGCAGCAGTTCTGATTGGAGGGGCTAGTCTTCCGCATTGGTGTAAACAGGAAACTGGGGGCTCACTCCTAATAGCTGACTCAGACTGTGGAGTCAAGCAGGAAGCCGGGAGCTCAGCCTGGGGTTCTTGCTGGTGCACTGTGTGCGTGAGGAGCCCACCAACGAATCGGCAACTGGACTCCTAATGTATAAAATCTGGACGCCTGGTTGGCCACGGGGAGTCCATCTCAGCAGATAAATTTCTTATCAGAGTCCGTGGTATCACTGCCCAATTACATGAATGCTTCATGCCTGTGGGGAGGAAAAAACTTTGCTCTACCCCTCCGTGTCCTTTCCACTGGTCTAAAAATTAGATCCAAATGAGACAGATAAACAAGAGAAATATTTAATTACATATGTATGTGCAGGAGAGGTTCAGGGACAGGAAATGAAAATGAGGAATAGACAACATTCTGAGCTAAGGATGTAAAAGGGCCCCGAGGGCCGGAAGAAGGGCAGGTGCGCAGTAATTAGCAGCTTGCCTTGCCCTGCGGATAAGCGAAAAGAAGTTCCCTCTCATACTCTCTTACTAAGGGCAACATCCCTAATTCAGATTCTTCTAGAAGAGCAATTTGCAGCCAGTGTGTTGCAAGAATTTTTTTTAATCCTCACCCGAGGATGTTTTTACTGATTTTAGAGGGACAGAAAGGGGGAGAGAAAGAGAGAAACACGGATGTGAGAGAGAAACACCGATTGGCTGCCTCCCAGACACGCTCTGACCAGGAGTCAAACCCATAATCTTTTGATGCAGGAGACGACACTCCAACCAATGGCGTCACCCTGCCAGGGCTACTGCATGAAGTTTTAAAACATGCGATACCCAACTATTCAGTCAGGGGCTCTAACCTCTTTTCCCTTAGATTGTCAAATAAAAAAATGACAACAGGCAACAGAACTACAGAATCTGCAGTGTGAATGGATCAAAGTTTTACCTCTTTTATTTTTTTTGTCACACTGGCAAAAAATATTAATAATTTTTGGGTGTGCTGTGGAATTTTAGTAATCAGTGTATATGTGCCATGAGGTGAAAAATATTGAAAATCGCTTTCGTAGGTAATTAAGGGAATGGGGGGGAGGAAATTTCTCTTGAATCTGCAGGGTTTTGGTTCTGACTTTCCAGCCTTGCGCAGTGAACCTCCAGATGCTGCAAACAGCAAGGGCTTCCTGTGGGGAACCACAGCCCCAAAGTAATGGGGAGGGGTGGGAGTGGGTGGGGCAAGTCGGGTGGAGCAGCCTGGGGCCCAGAGGGGACGTCACCCCACCCACCTGGGGCAGGCAGGGGAGGAGGAAATAGTGACACCTTTGGTGTAGAAATGACACCTCGGAAAGAAAGAATCCCTTAACTAAGAGGAAAATGAACTCCCTCCCCACCGCCCGGAACCAGAACTTCACCAGAAGGAAGAAAGAAACATCCAGTCAGAAAAGAAGGAAGAAACAAGAATTTAAAAAAATGAGGAGAGGCTTAGGAACCTCCAGGACATCTTTAAACGCTCCAACATCCAAATTATAGGGGTACCTCTTCCGAATTATAGGAAGAGGAACAGCCACCAGTGGAAAACTTATTTGAACAAATAATAAAGGAGAATTTCCCCAATCTGGCAAAGGAAATAGACTTCCGGGAAGTCCAGAAAGCTCAGAGAGTCCCAAAGAAGTTGGACCCAAGGAGGAACACACCAAGGCACATCATCATTACATTAGCCGAGATTAAAATGAAGGAGAGAATCCTAGAAGCAGCAAGAGATAAGGAGTTCCCATCAGACTGTCAGCTGATTTCTCAAAAGAGACCTTGAAGGCAAGAAGGGGCTGGAAAGAAGTATTCCAAGTCATGAAAGGCAAGGACCTACACCCAATATTGGTCTATCCAGCAAAGCTTTCATTTAGAATAGAAGGGCAGATAAAGTGCTTCTCAGATAAAATCAAGTTTAAGGAGTTCATCATCACCAAGCCCTTATTATATGAAATTTTAAAGGGACTTATCTAAGAAAAAGAAGATAAAAATATGAACAGTGAAAGGACAGCAAAATCACAGTTATTAACAACCACACCTAAAACAAAAGCAAACTAAAAGGACAGCTAGATCAGGAGCGGAACCTGAAATGAAGATCTCATGGAGGGTTAGCAATAGGGGAGTGGGAGGAGGAGAAGCGAGGAGAAGGTACAGAAAATAAGTAGCATAGACGGTAGGAAGAAAATAGATGGGGGGAGGGCAACAATAGTATAGGAAATGTAGAAGCTAAAGAACTTATATGTATGACACATGGACATGAACTAAAGGGAGGGAATGTGGGTGGGAGGGGACATGCAGGGTGGAGGGGAGTGAAGGGGGGAATGGGACAACAGTAAGAGCATAATCAATAAAATATATTTTTAAAAAATTAATTTCACTTTGAAGAGAGGAAGTGGCAGGCCTTGAAGAAAGTACATAGAAAAACAGTTCACGGAGAGAAAGGCGAGGAGACGCAAAACCTTCAGGAGTCCCCACTGCAGCAGCCAAAGAAAAGGGGCCTTTAAACAGTTGTCGGGAATTGTCAGCGTCTTCAACTGGGAAGATGCACAGGCCTCAGCCAGTTGCCCGCCCGCCACTCTCACCAACCAGGAAAAGCAGAAGCCATGGTCTCTGAGCACAGGGACAGGCCCCGCTGACTGTCACACGTGTGCTTTGGGGCAGGTTGTTCAGACTCGTCCAGGCCTCAGCCGCCCAACCCCTGTCCCCAGGAAGCGCAGCAGGTGCCCAGGGGTTCCTCAGGCACAGCTGTGGGGGTCGGGGGTCCAGCGGGCTGCAGGGGGCCTGGAAGGCTCTCAGTCACGACCACTCTGCGCTTGGGGCCAGGTCTGACATCGCCGTGACGGTGGCGAGGAAGGCATGTAAGGAAGGGCTTGAGCGACTGGGCCGTGGCTGTGCAGGGCTCTCAACATTCCAAGTGTCATTTCAATTTTGTTCAGTGGAATTAGCTTCATTTCGACACTGCCAGCTGTCAATGGCACACTCTCGACGGCCCAAGCAGGTGTCCACACGAAGAAAAGGGCGACGATCTGGGCGACACCGCTCGACATGCAGGCAGTTGTCCCTCCGCAAAGGTGGCGTCGCAGCGGCCGCTGGTCGGTGCTCTGCAGGCCCCTCCGATGCTCCGGTGCAGGGACCGGACTCAGCTGTCTCAGCAAACCCCAGACTTCACCGCCACGCAGGTTTAGGGACCACGAACCTGGAGACCTGTCCACGTTCGAACCCGAAGGGCAGCAAGGCAGTGAGTGAGGTGGCGGCCAGCACGTTTGAAGGCCTGTCCTCATGCAGACGTGCCTGGCGATGAGAACGCCCCAAAAGCTACCAGCGGGGTCGCTGAGTCCTGCACCTCCACCTGCATGTCTCTGGTGCGACTCCACGTCACTGTGGACACACTCAGTCTGACTAACAGCCACTGGCAGAGGGGCCAAGTTTCCTTAGAACAATAGATTTGGGTACAAATACAAGAGGAACTCTTGACGCCTTGTCATGAATCCCGAAAGCCTCTGTCCCAGAGTGTGGCAAAAATGTCTGGCCTGCAGCCTAGACCTGGGCTTGTGTCCGCCTCTCCAGGGACTTCGTGCCGACCATTTCCATGGGCACGATTCCGGCCTCGGCTGGGCCAGCACAGACGAAACGAAAGCGGACGGTCGACTGGTTTCAGTTCTCTGACAGGGCGCAGTGAGGTTGAGAAAGGTGTGCTGCCGGCAGACTGCGTGTGGCAGGCAATTCACAGGTGTTTGGGGAACCGCAACCTTGGCGGAAGAAGTAACAGGTGCCTTTGGAGCTGCTCCCCAAGGTCAAGGTGAAGGATGAGGCCTCTCACTTGAGAGTTAGCATCAGTCAGCTGCCCTGCGCCCCCCGCCCTTGTCTGGTCCACGTTGACTTTCCACACCAGGACGAGAGTTGGGGAAATGAAGTAAGACATCCCCACCACCCAGATTTGGGGCAAGCCCAGCCACCACACGCTGAAAGCTCATTTTCTACCAGAATCACCTGGAGCCAGAAGATACTGTCATCAGTGTCCCTATACACTTTACTTTTTACCACTTACTGATTAAGGGGGGGGGGCAATTTTTGTCTGCACAATTCAAGGTGCAAGGGCTTCCAGACGACCCCTGATTTCCCGTGGTCTGATTTCGGGCTTCTCGACTTCAGCGTGGTGAAAAGTGGTCGGCGTTCAGCAGGACCCGCCGGGCTGGGCTGCGACGCTGGCGGCAGGTGCATTCAGCGTGCGTCTGACCACGACGCTGTCGGTGGCTGTGCGGGGACCGTAACCCCGCTGTGAGCTGAGCATCCACCTCCGTAATAGGGTGTATTTACTCCAAACCAACAGAAAAGCAGGCAGAACGGGGACGCGCAATGGCCAGCAGCCGTTTGAAAACGTGCCCCACCTGGGAACCTAAGGAACAGAACAAACCAAGGAGCAAAGTAGAACCAGAGGCAGGGAAAGGGGGAACAGACTGACAGGCGCCGGAGGGGAGGGGTCGAGGCGGGGGGTGAAAGGAGGGGAGGGGTCTAGTCAAACCACCGGCATGAATGACCCATGGACTTGGACCAGGGGGTGGGGACTGACTGTGAGGGGCGGGGTGCAGGGCAGGGGAGAGCAGTGTGGGGAAAACTGGGGCACCTGTAATAGGACAACAAAAAAAAAAAGAAAAAATATATATACTCGGCCTCCCGCACCTATAACCCAAGAACTGCAAGTTTTTAATACTGCACTGTATACTTCTTCTTGCATTAAATTTGCACAGATTAAATCCGCAAAGACTGAACCCTCCCGGGGCGGGGCGGGTGGGGAGGCGGGCAGGGGCGGAGCCGCGACGTGGTGCGCTGTAGACGGAGGTGGCCCGCGCCTGTCGTGGGCTGCATTGCGGGCTGTTCTTCGCGCGTTTCATGGTGACTTTTGTGTCGCTCTCCTTGCCCGCAGAACTATTCGCTCCTCGACATGAGGCCGCCGCCAGCCACGATGATCACGTTCAACAACTCCCTGTACTGGCAGGAGTTCGAGGACACCTGCGCGTACGAGTGTCTAGACGGCAAGGACTGCCAGAGCTTCTTCTGCTGCTACGAGGAGTGCAAGTCGGGCTCCTGGAGGAAGGGGCGGATCCACATAGACATCTCGGAGCTGGACTCGTACTCCCGGGTCTTCTTCCCCACGTCCTTCCTGCTCTTCAACCTGGTCTACTGGGTCGGGTACCTGTACCTCTGAACGCTGCGGGTGGGGAGGGCGGCTCGGTCCCCCCGCTGCCCGCCCGCGCTCGGCCACCGGCCTCGGACCAGGGGTGAGGACCCACCGGGGCAGCACGAGGACTCTGCTCAGTTTGTCTGAAGTCCCGCCTCCCCTCTGAGCAGCGTGGGAGAACGTGCCAAATATTTCCATTGTGTATTCCACACTCACACACACGCACATGTGCGCACACTCACACAGGCCGCGTTTCCACCCCTTCCTGAATCTGTAGCTTGGTGACGTTCGTGAACGGTCTCTCGGGGTTGGAAGCAGCTGCTGATTACTCTTGCAAAGAAATCTGTCACCGGGCGAGCAAATACTTGACGCGATCTCTGGGGCTCTGACCTTCTGGAGATTTCATTGGCCACTCCGGGCGGCCCTGCGCACGCACGTGTGCAGAGGTGCTGCTGCTTGAGATGTGCTCACACGGACCCGAGCCCCGTGCCCCCGGGCAGCCCAAGGTCAAGTGTGAACAGCAGTGAGTTCGGAGCCCAGCTCCTCTCTTGGTGGCCTGTTTGTTGTGACACCCTCATCATTAGCTCACCTCCCTTCACCTAATAACCTCACCTGGGTTGGGGAAGGGAGTACACGCATCACCGCCAAGTTTCCAGTTGAGGAAAAAAATATGATTTTCAGATGTTTTCATGTTGCTGAAATCAACAGTGTTGATTCTCTTCAGACGTCAGAAGGTCATTGCTTTACCCAAACTACCAAGAATCGGCCATATCTGAGCCTTCGGGTGGTGGACAGGTTGGGCTGAAGTTCAGCGTTTTGCCCTTGGAGGCGTGTCTGGACACCCCAAGGTTTCAACCCGCAGTGCGCACCCCGCGGATGAAGCTCCATCACAGGTTTGGCGATTGTCTTCATTTTTAGAAGGAACTCATACACCGTTCACAAGCCTTTGTCTCAAAAACGTTTTCCAGAGTGTGAAAGAAATGGAGATGGGATTTTTAAAAAATTTAGTGCGTATTAACTCTCAAGTCAAATCACTTTAGACACACACACACACACACACAAATGGGTAACGGCTGTCATCAGTGGTATATTTTGATGAACAACAACAGAAAAAGCTTTTATACTTTGAAATATGGAGACATAGCAAAATCCCAAAGAAAACATTCCCTGAAGTTATTACTCTTTTGATATTTTTATAACACAAAACCAACTTGCTTCGTGATGTGAGTTCTTTCTTACCAGAGGACGTCACCACGTATGTATTTCCCAAAACACTTCGGAAGTTTCCCACCACTGATAGCGAAAAAAGGGGAAAAAAAGGCGCTACCAGCTCATTAATGACACTTAGTCATCATTAAAATTTCCATACTAAAATTTTGGTACAGAATCTTTATGCTTCTCACCCAGAAAATGGAATTAATCTTATTGGAAACCATAGAATTTTATTGTAATTCCCTGTTGGCCATATTGCTGTTTCTCAGAAAAAGGGGTAAAACATGACGCAGAGAGGATGTACACAGAAGTGCCGTTCACGGGATTTATTGGGTGCCAACCAGACACGGAAGGGGCCGGGAGCGTTGGAAGGAGTGAGCCTGTTTCTTTCTTGAAGGTCACTGTGAATCACGTGAGTGCAAACTTCCGGACCTGCGGTCACCCGGCTCCCACGGTGGGATCTGTACTGTGGGACAGTGCAGCCCGTGGGGCCCCATCCCCGCCTTCTGGCCTGAGGGCTGCCACACAGTCCGCATGTCACTCGGCCCCTACTTAGTAAACCCAATTTAAAACCTAAGATGATAGATATTTGCAAGGAACCAGGTTGAATCTATTGGCCTCACCGGAATTTCTGCTGTGTTTGGAGTTTCACAGATGGTGTACAGACCACCCCCCTGCCCTCAGTGGCTGGGGGGGGGGGAGGAGGCACCCGACTACAGGACCTCAGGGTGTGACACCAGAGCCCTGAGTCCCCAGGGGACGCGGCCCATGGTCAGTCCTCTTCAAACACAATGTCCAATTTCATGAATTTACCATTTCTCACAATAGGAAGAATTTCAACCCATTGCATCTTCAAAGAAGTTCTTAAGGGAACTGAATTTTCTGGTGAAATTCTTCTTGGAAGGGAAGTAGCCTAAAGGCATTTTTGTGGCATAGATTTGGCCTAATTTTTTTTTTTATTGATGTCTCTCCTTTCCAAGCCACACAACACCTGGGCGTTGCTGGCTATGCTCATGAAATTACACACGCCAGAAGTCTGCACCAATAACCACCAATAACCACTGCCCTCCCCCCCCCCGCCCCCCCGCCCAGCCTGAGCAGGCCGGCTGGTCCAAACTCCCCCGTTCACGGTTCCTTTCCCACGCAGGGGCACTCTCCATCCCAACAGACTCCAACAGACGTGCACTCATGGAGCACTAATTAGATTACTGCACACACAGCAATTCACACGCTGGTCCGACTAAAAACGGGCCCATCCCCAGGGTGCACACCTCGCCTGCCCCTGCACAGGCTGCCCCTTTGAGTCCGAGTTCTTCCCGGTCTGGGTCCCAACTCCCAGGATGGGCTTCTCAGGGCTCAGCTCAGGAGAGGCCGCGCGCACAGAACTGGAGTTGGGGGAGGCTGAGGCTGAGGCCGTGTGTGTTCATTTCAGCGAGCGTGAGTCTGCCTTCTGGAGGCCCAGACAGGAGGGCAGGGGCGGTGAGTGGGGAGTGAGTCACACCCATGGAAGGGCTGTCCTTCCCCGTAAGATTGGCCAGCAGGGTGCGCGCGGCATGCACAGCAGCGTGAGGCTGTTCCACGCAGACCCCACACCCTTCCCGCGCCACGCCCCCTGCTTGCTGTGCGGGGATTGTCCAGGAACATTTGTGGTGGTGGGGCTGTGGCTTGGGGAAGTGGCCCCGTGCCCTGCTGCCATTGCGTCCCTCACTGTCACAAAGACTAAACCAGGGAGGTGGCAGCTCCTCCTGCTTGGAGCTGGGACAGGTCCCCTTTGAAGCTGCAGCGGGCGAAGCGGGAGAGACAGAAAAAGGCCTTTCACGTTCACAGAACTGGGGCAAAAGCCTGCTCAGGGCCTGGAAAGTTTCCGCTTCTACCGGATTTCAACACCGCTGAGCAGAACGCTCTCAGATCCTGGACAGAGAGCGCCACATTAGCCTGACTCACTCCGCACCCAGCCAGCACTGCCCGATGAACACGACATATGCCTTAAAAGGACACTCAAAACTCCGGTCTCACCCATCTCGCAGACTTCCCATCTCCCGGGAACACCCATCTCCCCCGCCAGGGTCCCTCTCTCCTCTGTGAGCGGGTGGGGACGGGATTTCATTTGTTCACACGCAAACCGTCCGATCCCCACGCGGACACCAGCTCCGCGGAGAACACGTTCGTTGGGGTCCTTTCGTTCAGGAAATGTTTGTGCTCCGTGGCGAGGTATTTTCAGGCTCCACGTGAAACACGGGGGGACAATCTTTAGGTCAGTGACACTGTGCTTGTCACACGGTGTGAGTGTTTCCCATTGCCCCTTGTCACTAAGTCTTTTTGCCCCGATGCAGTTCGCCACGGTAAAAGCATTTGGTCATGGTTTTGGCTGTTCTGCACAATCCCCACCCCAGCAGCCGGGAGGTCACCGAAAATGTCACTGTGCATTGGAACACCTGCCACTAGCAAGCACCAGGACACTCCTTACCTAAAGGGCTAGAAAACAGGACAGACCTCTGCTCCCTCCGCCGTTTTTCTCTCGGTGGCCAGTAACTGAGAAAGTTCTGTGATTTCCTTCGCGGACTCGAATGGCATCAGAGCCACTCGCTCAGGACGCAAAGCGTTTCCAGTCCTCTCCGCAGGCCTGCCATTGTCTGAGTGCCCTTCCCGAGAGTTCGTAAACCGCATACGTGTGAAATTTCATGCTCAATTTCCAATCAGGTGTAGCTATCGTTTTAAAAGTATTCATTCAGAAAGGCGTCTAGAAATATGGGGGGAAGAACCAGATCGTGAATGGGAATGCGAATGTGAAATTCACCTCGTGATTGTGAAACTCATCAATTGAGGAAGTGGGTGATCTATCCACGTTTCTCTTCTCGAATGTGCCTGTGAGAAACGTTCATGTTCCCACGGGTCCTAGCAGTACCTCCGTGTGGTCTAATCACCTCCAAAGAACCAGGAAAATCACAATTCAGGCAAAATGACAGATCCTTTTTGTGTCTTTATTGGCTTCACTTTTCCAATAAAAATTAATTTCTATCAGTATGGTGGAAAACAGTCTTACCCTTCAGACTGTTGAAATAACAGGACACTATAACAACTCAGCCATTCATATTTCTGGGAGATTAAAATGTGGCTTTTCAAAATGCCTGGTAGTTTTGAAGACTAGAAACTAGGGCATATCCACTTTTAAATTTTCCACTTTTAAAATCTCTTCTGATGATGAGTTAACGATTCCAAGGCATAAGCCTGCCCTGGTTTTATGAAGGTCAATACAGAGAATGTTTCCTTTTTTCTTTTTTCAAAATTTCCTCTAATTAAATGAGGCTTTGGTCTTTTTTAAAAAGATTTTATTTATATATTGTTAAAGAGATGGGAAAGAGGGAGAGAGAGAGAGAGAAACATTGATGTGCAAAAACTACATCGATAGGTTGCTTCTACCACGCCCCCACCTGGGGACCTGGCCTGCAACCCAGGCTTGTGCCCTGACTGGGAATCGAACCATTGACCCTTTGGTTCTCAGGCTGGCGCTCAATCCACTGAGCCACACCAGCTGAGGTGAGGCTTTGGTTTTTGATGTTGTCAATAAAACCCCTTAAATCTCTCACTAAAAAAAATTTAGACCACGTTCAATCAGTGTTTAAAAAACTGAATTGAACAGTCACTAACAATTCTTCGTCTTTGCAGTAACCAAGAGGGCCTTTCCCACCATCTTATCCAGGAACATGAGCTAGAAAATAATCAGAAAGATAAAACACATGAGCACGCACGCACGCTCGTTCACAACACACATGTGCGCACACACGGACACAAAGCCAGCACTGAATGCGGCCCTC